CTAAAGACTGGGAACAATCTAGATGACCACCAATAAAGTCTGGATATGGGCTGGGGTTGTAGCTCAGTTGGCAGAGCATTTGCCTAGCATGTGTGAGGCACTGGTTTTGATCTTAAGCACCACATAAAAATAAATAAAAAATATAAAGTATTGTGTCTGTCTAATATATATATATATATATATATATATATATATATATATTATATTATATTATATTATATATATATTTGAAAAAGGACTGGATAAATAAATTATAGTGCAGTTTACCACAATGAGATATTACCTCACCCCAGTAAGAATGGCTATGATTAAACTCATGAGATGAACCTGGGAATAAGGTATAAGTTAACAGAATCAGACATTAAAATCAAAAGCAGAAGTCCGTAGAGACCAGGCTCTCAGTACAATCATAAGACCTTGACCCTGGAATGAGGCAGGCCTGGTGCACTTCAGGTCATTGTGTCTGTGGAAACTGGGCATTGATACAACTGAGTGATTAGGGACTGATATCCAAGTTCAACCTCTGACCGTGAGGTTCCACAACATCTCTGGCAAAAGGGAGAATGACTTTATCTTCTGGTGGTGAGAAAGTCTGTATGAGTATGTGTAGGAGTAGCAGCATTTATCTAAGGACATCTGATTTTATTAGCACAACTGAAATATTTTCTAACTTGCCCCTTATTCTTCAGCTTTGCCAGAACGCCTGTAACCAACTCCTGAGATACTTATCTAGGTGTTGAATCCTCTAAGATTCACAACAGTATCATTCTGCTGAATATTTTATACCAAACCAACTTGCTTTCTGAGCCTCTCTGACTTCCTGTTGACACATTTTCAGTTTTATGTGAACACAGTAAGAAAGTTTCTGGAGGAGACCTCAAAAATGGGGGTGCAGGTGGGTCTTTACCCAAAAAAGCGTTCTTTCCCAATCATAGTGTTCAAGTTAGAAAATTTGCCAAGTAAAAGCTGGACAGGGTTCACCTGTAATCCCAGCTACTCAGGAAGCTGAGGCAGGAGGACAGTTCCGGACAACCTAGGAGATTCTGTCTCAAAATAAAATAAAAAGAGCTGGGGCTGGATTTGATGGAGCACACCTGTAATCACAGCAACTTGGGAGACTGAGGCAGGAGGATTGCAAATTCAAAGTCAGCCCCAGCAATTTAGCAAGTCCCTAGGCGACTTAGTGAGACCCTGTCTCTGAATAAAATACCAAAAAAGGGCTGGGAGATGTGGCTCAGTAGGTAAGTGCTCTTGGATTCAATTCCTGGTACCAAAATTAATTAATTAATTAAAAGGGCTAGGGATGTGGTTCAGTGGTAGAGTGATCTTAGGTTCAATCTTAAGTGCAAAATAAAAAAAAAAAAAGAAGGAGGAAGAAAATTTGGTAAGTAAAATTTAAAGCAATTTTGTAAATATTTAAAATATTTAAGTACTACAATCATTATTTTTAAAAAAATATTTTTATAGGGTGACACAATACCTTTATTCATTTCTTTTCTTAAATATTTTTTAGTTGTAGTTGGTCACACTACCTTTATTTTATTTATTTATTTATTTACTTTTGAGAATATTTTTATTATTTATTTTTTAGTTTTCGGCGGACACAGCATCTTTGTTTGTATGTGGTGCTGAGGATGGAATCCGGGCCGCACGCATGCCAGGCGAGCGCGCTACCGCTTGAACCACATCCCCAGCCCTACTTATTTATTTTTATGTGGTGCTGAGGATTGAACCCAGGGCCTCAAATGTGCTAGGTGAGCGTTCTACTGCTGAGCCAAAACCCAGCCCTATTTCTTTCTTTTTATGTGGTGCTGAGAATCGAACCCAGTGCCTCAGAAGTGCTAGATAAGCACTCTGACACTGAGCCACAACCCCAGCCCATAATCACTATATTTTTATTGGGTTTTCTTTCTCTGGCTTGACTGTCTTCTTCTCCTCCTCCCCCTCCCCCTCCTCCTCCCCTCCTCCTCCTCCTCTTTTTGAAATCTCCCTAATCTAAGAAGTTGTCTAGAGCTTGTTTCTTCTGATGCCCCCATTTCCCTTCTGAAGAAATGGAGGCATAGAAATGTTCAGTGTTTGGCTTCAAATTTGACATAGTTAGAAGCAGAATTTGAATTTAGTATTCACTATCACACCTAAGACTGTAGAAAGTATAGAATGTGTTGATGTTGATGAATGCAGGATGTCAGAGATTGAAAAGTCCACAATGGATAAGACCAGCCATGAATAATGGAGCTGCTACTAAAGTACATGTTTCTGTTTTTGTTTTTAAATCAAAGACTATTTATTTCCTTATGGTGCTGGGGATTGGACCCAGGGCCTTGTACATTCGAGGCAAATACTCTACCAACTGAGCTATATCCCCAGCCCCTAAAGTACATATTTTCTCTAAAATATTAATCATTCTTTCAGGAGATATTTATTTATTTATTTATTTATTTAATTTTTTTTAAAGAGAGAGAGAGAGAGAGAATTTTAATATTTATTTTTCAGTTTTCGGCAGACACAACATCTTTGTTTGTATGTGGTGCTGAGGATCGAACCTGGGCCGCACGCATGTCAGGCGAGCACGATACGGCTTGAGCCATATTCTCAGCCCCTCAGGAGATATTTATTATGTGCCAGACACAATGCTAGACATGTGGGATATGAGGATAAATAAGATAAGATTTTTTTGCCTTATTTCATAAAATAATATTATATAATTTGATTTTCCAATGATAAAGTATTGAAGAGGAAAACATGAAATAGTGATTTAAGAAGGAAATGCAGTCAGGGAAGATAAAGAAATAAAATTCACTAAAAGTAAAGTTTCTAATATTTTATAGCTATGGATAGCTATAAATTTTATAGCTCCTCAAAGGCAATCTGATATAAATTATGAGAGTATCCAAATTAAATAATCTCTGTGGGTTCTTATTGAAAGTAGGTGATTCTGGCTGTGCAAGCTTTCTATTGAAAAATCTCCAATCTAGATCAATGATACAACAAAATCATAGCTGGTGTTCATGATTGTAAGAATTTGAACACAGGCCGGAAAAATAGGGTAAGGGTGGGAGGAGTAGAGACAGTTGAATTTTGAGGTTTTTCTGCATCACCTATTCCTTTTTCATAGGTATATGATATATCATCTTCATGGGAAGATGTATTGTTTCTTTATAAACATAAAATTATTTTAAAAATTTACCCTTAGAGGACAAACGAAAACAAACACACACAAAAAAAAAACACAAAAAGCCCTCATGATCACCTGGTCTACCTTTTCCATCTTAGAGATAAGGACATGAAACTTAATAGCAGAGGGGACCCACTCCAAACTCCACACAGTTTCTGGCAAAATCCAGGTTTCTAGCTGGGTGTAGTGGAACATGCCTGTAATCCCAACAACTCTGGAGGCTGAGGCAGGAGGACTGCAAGTTCAAGGCCAGCCTCAGCAATTTAGGGAGTCCCTGTCTTGAAATTAAAAAATAGAAAAAAAAATAGGGCTGGGGATGTGGCTCAGTGGTAAAGCCCATCTGGGCTCAATCCCCAGAACAGCAAAGGGGAAAAAAAAAAAATTCCAGGTTTCCTAACACTTTGCCTGGTGCTGCATGTGGTTTTGGAATAGCACAAATAAGTGGGGAAATGGAGAGACACGGGGAGAAGGCACCTGAGGAAGAATGCCCCTTACTTCAGCCTTTGTTGTTAGGCTGTTTGTATTCTAAAAAAGAACAGAGCTTTCTTTCTCCAGAGCTGGGGAAATTGAGCTGAAATGCTGGAACACAGCCTAACACCTCTGGTGAAGGTTCTGAGAGCTGCTATGACCCACGGTCTGTTCAAGTGTGAGGCTCCTACAGAAGGAAGAGCCATAGGTATTGATTCAGGAAGAGAAATGCTTCCAGGTAAAGGTTAGCCTCCGAGACAGAAACAACTCCCTTTGGGCTGTTTTACTCCTTTTGCTACATGGTCCTTGCAGTGCTAGCAAGGACCTTGAGTTTACTGCCCCACTTGACTGCACTCCTGGGAGGGGACTCAGAGAGCCTGCCTGTCTTGTTTACTATGAGATCACAGGACTGCACCTGGCATGGAGCAGACACTCAGGAAGTGTTTGCTGAATAAGTGAAAGATGAGAAAAAGCAACAAAAAGCATTGCTTTTTGTCCTGAGAATGTGTCCAACGTTTGCTGTTGAGCATTTCAGTGACTTTCCCTTGTGCTACCTACTATTTGGTCCAATATCGGAAGCTTATGCTCAGTGCATTTCTGTTCTAGCAAATTGAATCACATCTCTGTGTTCCAACCAGAGAAATGTAGTTGAACTTCCATATGAAACTGACACAACCCAAGAGTCAGCATCTTGTCTTGCTGATCTGAGGCTCCAAAGGGCCTGTAGGGGTACCCTGAAAACACTGGCCTCGGATTTCTCTCCATCTACACACCCTGAGGGCATGCTTCTCACTCCATAACCTTGGTGGGAGTCCTGTGGGTCCCATCAGACCACTAACAATTCCATACCTGGAACCACTATGGATATATCTTAGAATGTTGCGGGAAACAGATTTGACCTGGTTGTCCAGCTCAAAGCCCACACATCCTTTCAGAGATTTAAAAACTGTTATTATTGCCCCATTCCCTCCAGGTGATGTCAGATTAGAGATGAGCAGCAGTCGACAGTAGCTTCCCAACAGTCTTCCAGTTTGATTTGCCTCTTGGGAATTGTTCCTGTGCATGAATCTGAAGCCAAACCCAGTCCATTCGAATTACTTGTCAATTGCCAGGAAAACAAAACTAAACTACAGAGGAGATGGATGGTACACACGTAGGCAGAGGATTCAGACATCTGTGAGAAACAGGTAGGAAAATGTCCCAGGACATTATTCGGAGGCAGACCTCACCTGTGGTGTAAGTAGGGAGGACAGGATGGTGGCAGAGGTGGGAAGAGTACATTTTGCCCTTCTGTAGGTGAACTTGAATGTGTCCTGACCTTCCCAAACAGCTCTCCTCCCCAGTAGCTCCCACTTACCTCTGTGGTGGGCTGTTCCCAAGCTTCTCCAAGGTCCTGGTGAGAAGTCAAGCCTGGATCTCTTCCCTTTAAAAGTGCTCAAGTGTCTGTTGCCGGCTTACCCTGTTGTTATTTGGGTGGGTCAGGAGGCTGGCCCTAGAGATCTGATTGCATTACAAAGCCTCCCACTGGCTCCAGCCAGGCACGTGATGAGAAAAAAAGTTTGGGTCTGTTTGGACTGAAGACAAAATGCCCTTTTTTTCTAAAAGGCATGTCCTTAAAACTGAGAGGACACACACACTTCTAACAAGAGCCTGAATAAAGTGCATTTAGTCACTGGTCTGGGTTCCTTTCTTTTTCTTTTCTTTTCTTTTTTCTTTTAAAAAACTCCCTTCCTCTTCTATACTTAAGAAAATGTCCCCATCTTGTAGGGGACAGGTTAATAAAAGATTTGGGAATCGGATGGTGGAAGGCAGTCTGCGTTAATAAAAAGAGTTAGAGACCGGAAGATATAACTTTCTTCTTTTGTATTGTTTCTTTTCCTGCGGAGGCAGGCAGGGAGGGAGGGGCAGGAGAGCTGCACACGGGCTGTTGCTACTAGAGACTCCAGATGTAGGAAAGGCAAAGCTGTAGAGGGTCTGTGTATTTCACAGGGGAAGTTAGCAAACAGGAGGCACATCACGGAATGGGGAATGCCCATTGTAAAAGAACTGAGTTATTTTAAAATTTCTAAAAAATCTTTTTAAAATACGCAATATATGCATATGATATAAAACACAAAGGAGTCAGTCCAGGGGTGCTCTACCACTAAGATACATCCCCAGCTTTTTTTTTTAAATTATTTTTTTTTAATTTTTTTAATTTTATTTTTTATTATTAGTTGTTCAAAACATTACAAAGCTCTTGACATATCATATTTCATACATTTGATTCAAGCAGATTATGAACTCCCATTTTTACCCTGCATACAGCTTTTAATTTTTCTTTTAAGACAGTCTTGCTAAATTGGCTAGGCTGGCCTTGAACTTGCAGTCCTCCTGCCTCAGCCTCTCTAGTAGCTGGAATTACAGGTGTGTACCACTGTGCCCTGTTGCCCTGTTTATTTATTTATTTATGTACTGGGGATTGAACCCAGGGGGACTTTAACATTGAGCCATACCCCTAGCCCTTTTAATTTTTTATTTTGAGACAGGGTCTTTCTAAGTTACTTAGGGCCTCACTATAAATTGCTAAGGCTAGTCTCAAACTTGCAATCCTGCCTTAGCCTCCCTAGCCACTGGGATTACAGGTGTGAACCACCACTCCTGGCTTCCATGTTCTTTTTAGTGGTGGTATGCTGTGCCACTGTATGGATGTGTCATACTTTATTTGACCAATAAAAGACCATGTCTTGGGGGCTGGGGCTGGGGCTCAGTGGTAGAGTGCTCACCTAGCATGTGCAAGGCCCTGGGTTCGATCCTCAGCACCACATAAAAATAAGTAAAGGTATTGTGTCCAACTACAACTAAAAAATAAATATTAAAAAAAAAGACCATGTCGTAGACATCTTACCCTGCCTAATTCCTTCTACAAAGCCAGGGCTCAGTAAATCTTCAATGCTTACTCACAAATTTATTACGTTTTACATAGTTTATGTTTTTGCTCACTTCTCAGAATATTAATACTTTCTCTCTCTCCCTCTCTCTCTCTCTCTCTCTCTCTCTCTCTCTCTCTCTCTCTTTTGGTACTGGGGATTGAACACAGAGGTGTTTTACCGCTGAGCCACATCCCCAGCCAGGGTCTTGCTAAGTTGCTTAAGGACTCCCTATAAATTGCTGAGGCTAGCCTCGACCTTGCATTCCTCCTGCTTCAGCCTCCTGAGCTGCTAGGAGTATAGATAGGCATGAACCACTCTACCCGGCTAGAATACCAATCTTTTTTTTCAACATTCTAGATGCTTATGTTTTCATCCCCTGGCAGGCCAAATCTATCTTGTTCACTGATCTAACCTGACTACCTGACTTCCGAGGCTCTCCTTAGTCTGGCTCCTTTCATATAAGATTATTTCCACTCCTTTCTCCTTACTAATGCTCAAACGTCCTTGTCATTCACAATTGTTGTTCACTGATGACAATACACAGAAACTGTTTTTCTTTTCTTTTCTATTACCCCTACCTGAATATCACCGCTGATGCTGATCCTCCCGCTTGGAACATCCTTCCTGTTCCTGTCCACTCTTCTATGCCAGTGCTTTTCTTTCTGAACTTTTTTTTTTTTTTTTTTTAGCTTATGAGAACAACATGCAGAGTAGCAGGAACTGTTTTCCTATAATCATTTCATTTAGGACCTTTATGTATTTCCATGGCACTAATAACTTTGGTATATAGTAGATCCTCAGTAAATAGCTGATGGCTGGACAAGAATTAGAGGGAAGACTCTCTTTCCAGTGAGAGTATCTCTAGAGCTGTCTTTGGAAGGCTGCTCAGCTTTTCTTGTCTCATGGGATGTGAGACACCCCCTCCTGGATGATCTTCTTGAATGGAAGTGCTCCTGGAGATAGGAGCCTGTCTGAGCTCAGAGCACTGTCACCAATCAGCTATTGTGACCTCCACCTCACTGAGTCTCACTCTTTCATCTGTAAAGTGAACGAAGTGGATCAGTGGATCTCTTAGGCCTCTCCTGATTATCATGTCTGAAGATCTGGAATTGAGATTTATAATCATGTTTATCAATTTCTCTGGAATACGTTCCTTATGGCCCTTTCTACCAACACACATCAGGTTAGCAACTTCAGAGAAACTCTGAAGCCTTTGGGGTCCCTTTGCTACTAGGACATTATAGAAAGTTACCGAAATTTTGAGACAAGATTCTTAAATGCTGTTCATAAAAAAAATCACAGAAGTTTTTGTGATTGGGCTGTAATATTGAAGACTATGGGTGTTGTATGCACACAGAGCAGAGAGAGAGTTTTAGAACTAGAGAATTCCAAAAGACAGATTTTACTCTTACCTGTAATAATGTACTCTCTTACCTTCTTTCCATTGGCCTATATTTCCAACCGCCTAGCTCTGTAAAGACAAAGATCATCTTTCTTTGCAAAGTACCAAGTGTTCAGTTAGCAGTCTCAAAGATTTTCCTAAGGGAGGCTGGGGATGTGGCTCAAGCGGTAGCGCGCTCGCCTGGCATGCGTGCGGCCCAGGGTTCGATACTCAGCACCATATACAAAATAAAGATATTGTGTCCGCCAAAAAATAAATATTAAAACTCTCTCTTTAAAAAAATAAAAAAAAAGATTTTCCTAAGAACAATTTTTATAATCAAAAGGATGTAATGACAACTAATTCTCAGTTTTCTAGTAAAATTTCCTAAGTTGTCACCTTATATTTCCATAGGCAACATACTTTCTATGCCTGGAGAAACTAGCTGTCTTTTTCTTCTTGTCATGTTTAGTAGAATTAAACAAAACAACACCAACAACAACAAAAAAAAAACAAGCTATCTTTATTCTATGTCCATGAAGTCAAGGTAACTTGAAAAACATAAAGCAGGATCAGGTCATTCCACTTAGAAAAAAATCTTCCAGGGTTTCCACTGCACTTGGAATACAGTCTTTTCGAAGACTGTGCTCTGCAGCCTGGGGTCCAGCCTCTCTGCCTCTGGTCCACCCCATGCAGGTGCCAGGGCCTCTTATCACTACTTCTAACCTGAAAAACTTGTTTCTTATCCTCTGGCACAATTTACTGCTCTCAAGTCCTTATCTGTTTCTCTATGATTGGGTCCTTCCTGTCTTCATCCCTGCCTATAAGTCACCTCTTCAGTGAGGCCTTCTTTGACCTGCATGGAAGAGATTTCCCCTAATCCAGTTATTCTCAGTCACATAATCTCATTAGTTTCCTTCAAGAAAACTACCACAATTTCTCATTATCTTTCATTTCTTACTTGAATGTTTGTTTTGTCAGTCCCTCCCATCAAATGGTCACTGCGAGGAGGCTAAGAACCAACCATGTCTGTTTTATTCACCAATGTGTATCCTCTAGTGTTACCATAGAGCCCTTGTCACAGCAAATGGGCCATAAATAAAAATGACTGGATGAACATTTAATCCCCCAGACTGACCTGGGAATCAGAAACTCAAATCCCCATCTTATCTCTGGAAGCTGGGTGACCTTGAATAAGTTATTTTATTCCTTTCTGTGAAATTAGGGGATCTGTTGGTTGGAATATTTATATTTTTTTAATTTTTAAAATTAATTACAAATTAATTTAAATTAATTAAAAATTAAATTGTAGTTGGACACATGCCTTTATTTTATTCATTTATTTTTATATGATGCTGAGGATCAAACCCAGTGCCTCACTAGGCAAGTGCTCTATCACTGAGCCACAACCCCAGCCCCTGGTTAGAACATTTTTATGAACTCTCTCAGCATTAGAAATTTAAAGGTCTATGATTACTTACTTTTATTTTTATTTATTTATGTTTGGGGTACTGGAGATTGAACCCAGGGGTACTCTGCAACTGAACTACATGTCCTTTTTGTTTCTTATTTTGAGCCAGGGTCTCATTACGTTGCCCAGGCTGGCATCCAATTTGTGATCCTCCTGCCTCAGCCTCCTGAATCACTGGATAAAATAGATTTAATATATATTTCCAGATTTAAAAAAGATGAACTGGGGGCTGGGGGTTTGGCTCAGTGGTAAAGTGCATCTATAGCATGCAGGAGGTCCTGGGTTCATTCCTACAAACAACCCGAAAACCAAACAACAACGGATTAGAAAAACTCTTCAAAGGCATGAAATCATTAGAGATCAGAAAGTGGTTTTGATTGTAATCAAAATAATGCTCAAATGCTTAATTATGAAACATAACATTTGCTCTATTTTTAGGGGAATTTTGATGGTCTGTGGATAATTTCCAAGAGCCAGAAGAGTTTTTCTTTTTTTATATTATGTAGGAAAAACAGGAACACGCACTTTCAAAAGCAGGAACTACAAAAAAAAAAAAAAAAAAAAAAGCCACTGGGTACTTCCACAGTTCTACTGTAAGACAAATATAAAATCTATTGAGGGGGTGGGGTTATAGCTCAGTGGTAGAGTCCTTGCCTAGCATACTTGATGCACTGGGCTCAATTCTCAGCATCACATTAAAAAAATAAAATCTATTGAAAGACAGCTTTATAAAAAGTGACAGATTTGTCTATGCCAGGGGAGGTGAGGAGAGGAGGGGGCAAGAATTAAAAAAAAAAAAAAAAAAAAGGAGCTGCGTGCTGTGGCACACAACTGTAATTCCAGTGGCCCAGGAGGCTGAGGAAGAAGGATTGCAAGTTCAAAGGCAGCCTCAGCAACAGCTAGGCACTAGGCACTAAGCAACTCAGTGAGACCCTATTTCTAAATAAAATACAAAATAGGGCTGGGGATGTGGCTCAGTGGCCGAGTGCCCCTGAGTTCAATACCTGGTACCAAAAAAAAAAAAAAAAATGGAGTTAATCAACAGGT